CTGTTCCAAAAATGAAGTGAGTTCCAGAGAGGCCAGTATTGTTTTTGTTGTTGGACTGTACATGGAAATGTCCTGCTAGATAGGTTTTCTGTTTGAGGGCTCCATTAAATAAATTATGGGTATAATCTTGCAGTTTTCCAGATGATCTTTCCTGACTTCTTTGTCATTTCCTGGGTCTCGAACAGCCAATGTTGATGCTGTAATTTGTCAGGCGAACGGACTAAGCAGCTTGTGTTTCTCTTCGACCCTGGTACAATAACAGCAGCCTTCTGAGCAGGGCCTTCCAGACAAGGCACTGGCATTTCCAAAAAACGATCCCTTCTGAAGGTAGATAGTTATGTCCTCAGATGCAGAATGAGTTCATTATTTTTAAAGTCCCAGAAAAAATGGTATTTCCTTAGAAAGTCTAATCCGAGTATTCAAGGATCTGTAATATCTCCCACATATGCCATAGCAATTCAAATGTGATTCTTATGTTTAACTTCTCATCAATTTCAATTTTATCACCAGACGCAGTCTGAAGCATAATGTGCATGGCATCCAAATAATTTTATACTTAAACTGTTGATATAAACTTTTCCAAATGATGGTAACATTAGTTCCTGTGTTTATGATCATATTGAAATCGACTCCCTATATGCCCATTGATGAATAGTCCATTACTGTTGCCACTCACTGCAGAAATCTTGAGTGCTTTAAAATGGGGTTTTCCATTATCATTCAAAATCCGCTCTGTGAGATGGCCACTAATTTGTTTCCTCTGTCTTTGCTGGGAAATAGTTTTATTTTCCATGTCCTGGGGTGTTCTGCAGTTCCTCAGTATGTGGCCTTCACCACTGCAATTCCAGCACTTTAGGGATGGTTTCTTGTCACTCCTATTCTGTCTCAAGGCATTGACTTATCTGTTAAATTGTCTGTCTTATTTTCCATGTTCTGCAGTTTCTTCGAACATAGCCTTCAGTACCACATTTCCAGCTCTTTAGAGTAAGTTTCTTTACACTCCTATTCCATATCAAAGCATTGATTTGTCTGGTTAAATCATCTGAACAAGCAGCCATTTGATCCACTGGTTCTTGGACTTGTGCAGCTCTGTATCGGATGTCAGTCTCTACGAGTAGCTTGTAGGCTGCTTCAAATGTCATGGTGGACATCAGAGCACTTTTCAAGTCATGGACATCCACCATTCACAGAGCTTTCTATATTTCAATATCCTGGATGCCATCGATAGATTACTGCAAGGACATGATTTCCTTTACTTTTATTGCGTAATGTGAAAAGACGAGATGAGACAGCCATTCAACATCTGTAGAAAGCTCCTGAAGTGTCTCCATGGCCTTCTGTTGGAGAGATTTTAATTGAAGCTTGCTGTAGTCTTTTAAACATTTCTTCCCAAAGCACAGCTTCAACGCACCGGATAGAGCTTTGAAGTCTATCCAACAGCTTTCGGGAACTGCCTGAAGCATATCCGCTGCGTCTGCTCTTAGAGAAGCGGTGAGATAACAGGCCTTAGCTTAAGGATCCCATCCATTCGCCTCCACCACTATGTAAAATTGTGCTGTATACACTTGCCAAAAGGTCTTCCCATCATACGTGGATAGCTTCAGAGATGGATGAGGAGGCATTCATAAAAATTTTAAACCATCAGAGTTGCTCCCTGCTGTCGCTACGAATTTCTTCTTCTGCCTTGCATAGCCTCAAATTTGTTTTCTATTACGCAGGTAATTTCTCTTTTCCTTTCCTCTTGACCTCCTTCAATTTTCTCTCGAACAGCTTTCATCTGTTCTTTGACAGATTCCTAACTGGTTTCCATCTTTTCTTGACCAGCTGTCATCTTATCTTGAACAGATTTCATCTCTTCTTTGGTGGAATTCTTAGTCAACATCCATCTTTCATTTAACGGATTCTTGGTCAGCTTTCACTTCTACTTTGAATGTAGCAAAGGCTGCTACCAATTGCCTCAACTGTTCCTCCATCACTCTTGTCACATTTTGTGATAGATTGAATGCACGAGTCCAATAAAAGGCTAATAAAATTTATACTTATCAAAAGAAATGTAACATAATGCTGGAATTTTCCTCAGAGATATCCGTACAAGTGTTTACAATATCACACTATATAATCAGTAGTTATACTTCAAACTACTAAAAACCTTAAAATGCAATGCAAGCAAAGCGTTATCTAAAGAGAAAGATAATCCAGATGTCTAAGTTCACGTGAAACTAAACAAATCACACTAACAGTAGCTAAGCAACTAACTAAAGCAAACTGAGCTGAGATATTCTCTCTCTGGTGTTTATAGCTTTCAATCAGTCGCGAGAAATTTGAAGTAATTTCCGAGTCTTGAGATTTCAGAAAACCAACAAGATGAAATTCCGGTTACAGCTAACATAGTGGTCAATTAAATTTACTCAATTTCAATACAAATTAAAGAGCTCCTATTTATTAGATGTTAAATGCTCCTGTATTTTTTTTTTTTTTTTTAAATTTTTCCGATACAGTTTTCTCACAAAATGTGTCTTGCACTGTGCTGCACAGGGAATTACAACAATTTTAATTATATGCTAAAAAGATCTAACTAAATACAAAATTCATAATATATACATACACACACACTGCCTTCCAAAAGTTAAGGAACAGCATGTTTTTCAAAACTCACTATTACAAAAATGTCAGTAGTGTTTAAATTCACAGTTCATATGCATGATATTAATGACGTTTAAGAAAATATATGCAAAATCAATAGCTACCACTTTTATTCGATAAAAATGAATTAGTATATAGGAGTTCGAAAAAATGCAAAAATTATAATTTTTACTCACGAGGTGCTGCTAGACATCTCAGTGTCTCTCGTAGTGTGGTCCACCAACCATGGAATCAGTTTGAATCCAAGGATTCTGTGTCTAGAAGACATGTTCCAGGTAGACCTAGAGTTTAAACCCCTGTGGGAGACCATTATTTAGCTCTTTGGGCTCGAAGGAGGTGTAACATTACTGTGCCATGGCAGATCATTTAGTGGCAATAGGAACAAGAATCTCAGCTACTACAGTGCACAGACACCTGCACAATACAGGTCTGTATACAAGACGACTGGAGGACACAGAGGTGCCTGTTTATGTTGGGCAAGAAAACATGTCTCCTGAATTAGTTAACAATGGGTGCCTGTTCTCTTCAGAGACGAGTCCACATTCACACTGGAGAGTGATTCAGGTCATCAGCTGATTTGGAGGGAACAATGCACCAGATACAACTAATCCCACATTGCGGAAAGACAGAATTACAGAGGTGGTGGAAAAATGGTTTCGGCTGGGATCTCTCTCAGTGGTCACATTAACCTGCATGTGTTCAATGGAGGAACTTTGACTGGACTGATATATCAATATCAGAACATTGATCAATATGTCCGCCCATATGCCGCTGCTATTTGTCTTGAATTTCTTTTGATGGACAACAATGCATGACCACACCAAGTTCAGGTTGCTGAAGAATATCTTGAGAGTCATGGTATGGAGCAGATGGAATGGCCAGTTCAATCCCCAGACCTTAATCTGAAAGAATTTCTTTGGGACTACTTGAGTAAAGAGACAGGTTGCTGCTTTAATGTCTCCTGCAAGGTCCTTAGATGAGCTTGAACAAGGATTACTCCATGTCTGGTCGTTGCTTCCCATTTCAGTGACCGACAACTTGATTGACAGCATGGTATGTCCCTGCTGGCAATGTATTGCAGCTTGAGGTGGACACATTCCTTATTATAACCCATTTTTGTAATGTCACCACCCCATTTTTCCTCAGAAAACTGTAATATACTGTTTCCTCAAGACTGGATTTCTCTGCCAAGGGTGCAATTTTTTGTTGTAATTCATGTTTATGTTAAAATTTAGAAACATTCTATGTTGCATTCATTAAAAAACTGTTTAGTGAAAATGCCCTGAAAGTTTCTTGTTTCTATGTTGCTTCATTCTCAAATTAGACACAAAAAACATGCTGTTCCTTAGCTTTTGGAGGGTAGTGTATATGTATGTAAGATAAAAAATATGTATATTAAAAGTATAATTTAAACTAGTGGTAATCCCACAATTTCCTCTATATTAGATAAATCGTAATAACTTTTATGGACTGCAATTTCTAGATCAATCCATCTTGCATGGTTTGCATAACGCTGTTGACATAACTAATTCTGAACCTAAGCTCACTATTTCAAGAACCAAAACTTCCTTTTGGTGAGCCCCATACTTGATAATTGCATTCTTTTTAGCTCCAGCTTGACTGAAGTCAAAATGGTACTTTTCTCCATTTGCTTGCTTGTGCTACTAACTATGCCATTATCTAAAATGTGATACTCTATATAAAATTGTGGGGTGCATATTGCACCCATGATCATGTGTGATGAAAAATATGTTTTTGATAATTAGTTTGTATCCACCAATAAAAGTTATATTCAATTCGGCCACATCTGTCTACAAGTGTTTCCTTCAAGTGTCATCTTTCTTACTAATTAAAGTCTCCCTAACTTATGCAGTGGACCATTATGCAGAAAACCATGTTGCAGCTTACTTCAAGTCATCTTATTACATATATATAATGATGCATATCTGCCTAATCCTAATGCTATTTTGCAAACATGACAAAGAATTATTCTTTATCAAACTAACTTACAGCTGAAATTGATATTAGATACCAAATATTGATACTTACAACTGAAAAACAGTAGGCTATTTTTGGTAATATATCAACCTCACATGTTTTACACAACCATAAGAAAAGCTAATTTTTATTAATACAGTATACCTATTCCAGCTACAGGCTTCATTCAAAAGTTGTATATATTCAAGAAACTTGAATACTATTTATGCATGTGTTTACATACAAGCTCCTCGGTAACTGTTATGAAGTACTGACTCATTGCAAAGAAACTGAAGATATTCATAAAACCTTAAGTACACAGTTTATGGACATCTTTCACATTTCGACAGAAGTACTTACGGGAACAAGATGATACTTACGGGATTTGTGAGCACAATTTTTGCATCACGTTCCCGGTCAACTTTCATTTTGAGCACAATACACTGCTCTCCTTTAACCATCACATAATCAGATATCACATCTTCTATCTGGTCCATAAATATCAGCTGAAATTCAAAAGAGAAAACTAAGATTAATATTAGGGAATATATATATATATTATTTTTTGTTATTTTTATATTTTCTTTCCCTCTATTTCTACTAGTTTGATGCCTATTGGTTAATTTTTATACATCTTTATGGGGAATTTTATATTTATTGGTTTTGAGTTTCTTTCATGTCTTTGTGGATATGGTTCTAAATTTCTTATACATACACATATACACACATGTATAGAATATGCATATAGTATATATACATGTACATACATGCATATATATATATGTGTGTGTGTGTGTGTGTGATTATATATGAAAGATAAAAAGTATATAAATAAAATTATAACTTATGCTAGGAATAGCCCCCTCCCCAATTCTTCATTTTAATTTAGGTATTTCTCCTTTTTGTTCTAAAAACAGCAGTTGCATATTACAACTTTTCTCGACTGCCTTATTTCTAGATTAAATCATATCATAAGACTTGCATAAAGCTAGTAATGTAAATGGAACTAAAATTCGATCAGCCAATAACAACTATATAGAGCTTTATTAAGTATCTTATTATATGGTATTGAAGTCAAAATTAACTCATTCTGAATCAAGATTTCATCATGAACACAGCGCACTTGCTGTTTCTCGGCTGAACTAGATTGCTACTGTACTACTGCATTCTTAAAAAAATGATATCAAAAATGTAAATGTTTCTTTCTAGAACAGGCATAACTATTTTACAACTCCAATTTTTTCTGTGGCTCAAAAATGCTTAATTAAAGTTTAAAAAAATATAATTTAAATATATCACGTTGTAAGATTCTTAAAATATGACAGCGATAAGTTTCTTAAAATATGACAATCATCTAAAACTAATTTTTCTATCACTGACTTTTCATATTATACTCAAAAACACTATTTACTAACTATTTTCTACATTAATAATCAAATTTTTTTTACATTTATCTCATTATCAGAATAATTATAAAATTCCTATAATTCAAAATTTCAAACAAAAATTAAATTAAATTACTAACACCATACAATTTTGTTATTTTCATAAAACAATATTACATTTTTTAAATATATTTTAATAAGAAAAATATTTCTTGCATTCACACTTGAAAGACTTTTTTCACAATCTTGCACTAGTGAAAAAAAAGGTACTTAATTTATTTGATGTACAGTCAAAGCAATATAAGCTAACCTTTGTGAAAGGGGTGGCCATTATATTAGCCTTGTTATACCCTGTTTGAAATGACAGGATGTCCACTTTGGTGGTAATGTCTTTTTCCCCCATTTTCCAACCTGAAAAAAGGGGTTAACTGTCAAGTTTGATGTCCCTGGAGTCTTAACCACTTATCCCTTTCTACAATCTTTGTGTTAAGGATCCGGTTTTTCCTATGATTTTCCTTTTCATTTTTGCAGTTTCAGAATTTCCAAGATAACTTCATTTGTAATTTTCTTGTAAATTCTTCCTATTCTTTTGAAAACTATACATAATGCACAAATTTTTCCTTCTGATTTCAAAGTTTTTCGCTACAAAAAAAATTGCAATATGAAATATTTAAACGATGTACAAGTCATACTTGAATTAAACACTGCATATTTTAAACTGTCAGTTTTCGCCCTTAAGCAGTACATTTTCACACAATTTTAATATTTATTTGGATTTAAAATTTTTATTTGTCTGCAATTTAAAATTTAACATTTCCATATAGTTCAAGTTTTTAATCATTTATGTAGTGATTTTTTTAATTATTCCTTCCATGGAGAAAATTTTACAGAATTTGGATAATTTTAATAAAATATCTAGCAAAACAATGAAACATTGCAAGAAAATATGACTGTAAATAACATTTGAGTTTACTGCAACATTTGCATTATGCTTCTTTGTTTACGAAGCCATGAAAGTTTGCAAATTTAAGAAAATATGTTCATGAAAGCTATGAAAAAATTTTAGATGCATTTAAAAAAAAATAAGAATTTCTACAAACTAACAGATATGGAGGAATTTTATAACATAATTTCAAAATATAATAGAATTAATTTTTTTTATCACTTTATAAAGAAAGGCACTTAACTTGGTAAGATAAATTAAAACTATTACTTAACATCTCATAAACTTTTAAGAATGGAATGGGATGTAATATGAAGAAAAAGAATGACATTTTCTATACATACACACAAACATATATATATATACTGAATAGTCTGATTTGGAATCAATTACACCTTTCAATTTTTGCTTTATAAGGAAAACCATCTGAACAGTTTACACAATAATACCTACATTTCCCTTTTTTTATGTTACAAGAAAGCCTCTTTTTCTAGATGAATCAAACTACTTAATAGCACTATTGTTGACAATAGCAAGGAACTTCCTAAAAGGGGGAAAACAAAAGGTACGAAAAATCCTGTATTTTTAAGGATATTACACTTGCTTTCAAATGCCCAATCTCAAAAGTTTAATATACAGAAATTATGCACTGGAACAGTGCTGTAATATGATTACAGGAATCTTTTTCACACGTCAACTTTAAAAAGTATAGTTTTCACAGGAAAGTTTTAAGGTGATAATGTGTCGTACATGAAGAAGCTTGCAAACATGATAGATTTAAATAATATTTCGTTTATTTTAAATTAAACATTTTGCAGCCACAAGTAATGATCTGGTACACTAATCCCGCCCATTCCAGAACTTAACATTTACATTTTTGACATCATTTTGGTAAAGACAGCAACAAAGCAGTAGTCTAGTTAGGCCAAGAAGTAGAAAGCAAGTGTATTGTCTTCAGAATTAAATCTCAATTCAGAATGAAACTGTTTCAGTTTCAATAGCATTTGACTGGATAATTAAAAAAGCTCTAAAATTATTATTGGTTTGGTTTATTAGATTACGGCAAAGCACTCGAGGGCTATCTACCTTAAGGGAGGCATGCCTTCGTGGAGGCTTTTTTAAGGAAATTGGCTCATATACCACGAAAACACCCATGCAGCCAGCTCGTTCGTGGAATTCGAACCACGGACCGAACTACCAGTGTTCAGCGACGTTACGGCTTGGCCGCTGGTGGGCAAAATTATTATTGGCTGATTGACTTTGATTGCGATATTTCACAAGCATTGTGTAAAAGTCATATGATATGGATTAATCTAAAACAAAAAAAGTTCAGAAAAAGTTATTACAGTAGGGAAGGTATGCTTTATACATGAGCATTTGATTTTCCCCCTCATTATAAAAGTCTCGATTCTCAATCTCACTTTGGCACTAAATAAAATACCACTTTATTGAAAAAAATAATCATTTTAGCATAAATTTGTATGATCAATAATTTGACTCTGCAGCTGTGTATCTGCTTGGCATACATGTCAAAATAAAACATTCTACATAGAAACACTGTTGATTTTATACCAACTAATATTTTATATCCTTGACTCCAACTTGGCAAATCATTATTTCTTATGGTTTTCTTTCATCACCGCATATTTATCAACACATGACAATTTGAGTAATGACTCATACAGCGATGCTTAAGCAATTGTTTTTTATATTAGTAACTGAATAATGGAGAGTATGGTAATCTTTTCGGTTGACATTATGCTTGGTGCTGATTATAGATTTAAGATAAATACGCTAAGAAATGTTGACAAGGAAAGATTTAACAAAAATTTATTTTCATATGCTAAAAATAGATTTTGTTAATGACATTCATAGGTAAAACCATTACATTTAGTGCTATTTGAATTAAGAATAACCGATTTGTTTTTCACACAAAGCAAAGACTGGCACCAGAACTCACAAGGCCACACCGTGTGGCAGAATTTAGAGAAAACAAGAAGTTAACAGAAGTTATTTATTGCAATGACAATGCCCCAATCACCAATCAATTAATGGACAGTAAAATCTGTAGTATGGCTCTAGATCAAGAAAATAGCACTACCGAGAGTGAAGAAAGTGACACAGAGGTTATTTGAAAATGAAAACATTTTAATTGACAGGTTAATCAGAATTCTCGACCCAGCAAATACAGGACTTAAATAATGGAACTTGTAACTGAACAAGAAATTATATATGTCTATAGAATAAAAGAGAAAGTATCAGCACAAAAAACAAAGCTACTTAAACAACTTACATTGAAAGATATGTTTAATAAAGTAAACATATAAATATTAAGCTTTTTTAGTAAATTTTCATACCCTTTAGATTATGGTGCTTCATTATTTCATAAAAGGCCCGGTGGCGCAGTGGCTAGCGCATCGCGCAGCAGCACCACAGGTCCGGGATTCGAACCCCAGGCTGGGCAAGGTCAACTTAGCCTTTCATCCCTTGATTTCCATCCCTCGGGTCAATAAAATGAGCACCAAGTTCACTTGGAGACTACACACTGGGGGGTCCTGCGACAAGTTGACCACTTATTCAGAGCATATGCTTACACAGCCTGGGGCCCACGGTCAAAAAACCAGATTTTGGGAAACTGCAGGCCTTGGCCCATTAAGGCTGTTTCCACCACTGAGTTTAGTTTCATTATTTCATAAATCATGATTTCATATTTTTAATTTTATAATTCTACATGCCATCTTACTCGACTTAAACTGATGATCTAATATCCAGAAAAATCTCAAATCTGGGATGGCCGAAGTCCCGACAAGAAATAATGAAACCTTTTATGAAATAATGAAGCATTCATAATCTAAAGGGTATCAAAATTTACAATATGTTTACTTTATTAAACATATCTTTCAATGTAAGTTGTTTAAGTAGTTTTGTTTTTTTCAGAATCTCAGACTTTGTACTGTATAAGCAAATGCTGTTTTTAGAACAAACAAGGGAAACACCAAAATTAAAATGAAGAATTAAGCAACTATTGCTAATTTAAGTTATAATTTTGATTTACATAGCACATAAATTTAAAATTTAATGTATTAATCTTAAGAAATTATACTTCAGAAACCTCTTGAAATAAACTGATAGTAGTTTCTAATAATCTATTAAAAATATCAAAAATGAATTTAATTTTTTATACATGACAATAAAAAAATTTCCCAATTTATTTGGAGTACCAAACCTTTACGATCTACCCAATATATATCCAAGCTTCAGAGGATAATTGTTCTAATGATAAGATTTTTTTAAATAATTTTCAGTACTGATTATGATTATATTAAACCATACACAAATACTGCCACATCTGCAATTTAAATATTTTATAAAACAAGTTAATCCAATTCGTTTAGGGACTAATCTATGACACTGAAGCATGCATATTGATTTTCATGTAATAATTTGTAATGAATTAAGTAAAGTAAGGAATGTGAAAGGAGTTTTTCCAAAAACAGCACAATTATTTCACAAAGACTGATAAGAAACAAAAACAAATTTAGAAAATATAATACTGCGAATTAATGTAAATATTAACTTTTTGCTTGTTTTCTTACATTTAAAACTTTCAGGATAGGCCATTTCCTAAATCTTCAACAAGGCTCTGATTTTCAGTTCCTTTTCAAATTTTTTATAAATATATTTCTTTTTTGGATATCAAAATGTTATTTTTTAACAATCTTTTTTATCTACAAGGTTGTTTCTTTTTGTATGCATATATGTAATTAAGCAAGTAATACCTTGGTTAAATATTTATAACAAAATAGTCACAATAAATTTTAACACAGAACAAAAGTCGTGTATAAAAATACTTGTCATACATAGCATTCTTAATATTTAACAAAGATGTACCTACCACAAGGGAAAAAAATAAATAAGGCAGCAAATTTTGCTTACTTCTGGTTTAGCACTACTGGATTCTGTATGAAGCTCCAACCTGTTAGGATAAAGTTTACCATAGCGTGTTTGCCATGCAGAAGCAAACGGACCTCCTAACTTCTTGATGTAACCATGAATTATACAGTCTGACTCTAAATAAAATAAAAATTGCAATAACATAAATAAAGAGTCATCTTAAGACATCTGAAATCTTTATCATGTAATCAATGTAAAATGGAATAATTCATTCCTCAAGCACAGATAAAATTAAATTTAATTAAAAAATTTACAACAATATGCATCACAAGTTCAAAACACATTGCAAAAGAAATCTTTAAATTTAAGACTACCCCCTTTTGCAAGAAAAAAAGAGGATAAGCTCCATACTAAACAGGTAAAGAAAGTTAAAACATTATTTTACTCTACCCATATGAAGAGAGTTGTGGGCAGAAATGAAAGATTGTGAGAAAGGGAAGGGCAAAAGATATTATTGTTTGGATGGAGTATCCCTTTCTATAAAATAAATAGATAACTCTCTCTGACTTTTTCCCTACTCTGTCTCTTTAGCACCACACTGATCAAGCCTCACTAGGCCTCTGTGTCATAAAAAAGTTATCCTGTGTGATTTGTTTTAATCTACACGTTAAAATGTTTCTAAAGAACATGTGGCAGCATCACTGAAAATTACAGTACTGTGCCTTCCAAATGCTTTAATTGTGGTAATATCAACATTAAGCTTGAAAATTTCGATCAAATGCATTAATATCTTAATACAAAACCTAAACATTTTCTGTCAATTGAATCCTTTTTCAAAAATTTCATACACAAAATAACAAGAATCATTTTCGATTATAGAGGACAGGTCCCTTTAGAGACCTGTCCTCTATAATCGCTTTTTGTTGCTGCTTCTGAAGTTTTTCCGTGCCATTCTGATTTTTGTAGTTCTCTAATACATCAGTGTCTTCAATGTTAGTTTCCAAGCCCATGGTTTTGTTTAAAGAGGGAGCAATTATAAGAAGCACAATGTCTTAGATAACAAAAAAGCCCTCATTGTCAGTGACTTCAGAGTCTTTGCCTGCCAAACAGTCTTAATAATCTGGTAACCAATCCTAATTCATGTCAAATTCATAGAAAGTCACTTGTTGCCAAACTTTGTTACTCAGAATTAAGCAACAGATAAAATAAAATGATGTTTTAGAAGTTTCTGTGTGTTAATTCCATGGCAAAACTTTTTCAAAATACCTTTGAAAATCATTTGTTGCTATTTTATGTATTTGCCACTCGAGGCATCAATCATCAAAAACACTTTTTATTAACAAAAATTGTTCATGATGAGAAGCATTTATGACCGAGATTCCACTGCATTATTCAGCATTGTCTCCATAACAAGCAATATATTTGTACTCATCAAATAGAACTGTAATACAAGCAATATATCTAAGAGAACTCTAGAACATTCTTTGGAAAATTCAGATGTGCACTGTTTTACCTCCTTTGTATCACTTATGCAAGAGAGTCCTATTTTTAATAACTTAGTTTTCATTAAACTAACGACATTCTGAAAATGCAAGACCAAGTCTTTATACACAGGTGAAGCACTTACTGTTTTACCCACACACCTAATCACGAGTTGCTGTTAAAGAAAGCAATATATTACCATTGTGAATGTAAATCATGTTCAGGTTCTTTCCAATTTTTTCTTGCCTGTGGTTTCTTGAAACTTTTGGCCACAGGACACTACTACTTACTGGACACACAGTAATCGTATTTCAAGAAAATTAAGGAGAGTGTTTGTCTTGTCATTTAAAAACAGTCACCATCAACTTCTGAGCTATTAATAGCATTCGAATACTCTAGGTCTCAAGAAGAATAATGCCATTCCTTGTGCTAATTCTTGATCTCTATATCACAAAAGCACAAATCATGTTTTGACCTCTGTCATAAAACTAGAAAGTTCTTTTATTGGCCTCAAAGGCTTCCAAAAGATAAGAGCAAAGTACAGCCCTCATTTACAATGTTTTACAATTTAAACCTTATTGCCTTATTTTTCACTGCATTCATGAATACAGTTCACTTGTGCAGAGAGCTTAGGACCTATATATCCAATCAATTCTGTTCAATTCTGTCATCATTTACAAATTAGTGTTCCTGGTTGAAGATGACAGCCTTTGATGCATGATTTGTCTTCAATTATGGTTGTCTCCTTTTGAATTTCTTTATCCATGTGCGCACTTTGCTATTGTTAACCCTCTGGCTGCTCATCCCACGATTTCCACAGGCAACTCAAATGTAGCAAAATCTGCTCATCCCGCGATTTCCACGGGCATGTGTTTTTCTTCCTTTATTGAGGAGCGCATCCCGTTTTTTTTCCCGTTTAACCATTGAAATAAATTATATACAGTATTTGACGTATAGTTTACGTTTTGGCCAACATATATCGTTAGTTGTCCACTAAATTGCGGGATTTGAAGGTACGTGGTATTACAGCTCAAACTTCACTTTTTGCCGCATTTTTCTTACAGAAATGGCTGCTAGAAAACGTTCAGCGATTATCTTGATTATTTAATAAAATTGTTGAATATTAATTCGATTTATTGATTAGATTTATAATTAGATCTATTGAATTGATTATTAATTAGATTATTAATCTGGCACGAAGACTGTGAAGTTGGACTTTGCCTTGAACCCTGTTTTGAACTCTATCGTACTAAACTGCATTTCTAAGGTATTTTTTCCTCAGTGCTTCATATTTTCTTAAAATTTATACATTTTACTTTTTTATATTATGTAATAAATAAAAATTAACTGTAATTCGATTGAAATTTATTTTAAAAAATTTGTTTTTTTTGCTGATAGCATCTGAAATTGGTTTTTCTGGCAACTTAGCTTCTCATGATAAAAATCTACATAAAAGTGTTTTCTAGAAAGAAAAAGTGCATTTTTCAACTTTCCAATATATATAGATTTAAAATATATATATAAAAAAAAAATTACACATTTTTTGAAGCGATTTCGGTCCACAAATTGAGCAGTCAGAGGGTTAATGGAATCATTTCATATACATATCCAGTAGCCTTTCATGGACTGGATAGAATTTCTTTTGCCATGAACTCAATGATGAACTCAAAGTATTTATATTTCTTATCCATGTTTATTTGCAAATGAGTAAACTATCTTTACATATTTGTATAAACAGTCTTTCTAATAATATGGAGTATGGACAATTTTTTGTTGTTTAATATAAAGATTAGATTTTTGCATTATTTTTAGTATGCGCATAGTATTGCATTATCATTTCAGATTAGATTACTATTAAGCTCTCGCTTTCACTTCTGCACTGGCAATAAGCTTACATTAACCATCAAGTTGTCTTGAACAACAGTTCTGAAAAATGTTTGTGCTTTTATAACTAAAATGGCTTTTGGAGCTTAATGGAAATATATTATGGGTCTTATTTTGATGGAGTAATTTTTACTGGAAAGACATCCACAGTTTCTGTATGCTGTTAGAAATTTGTAGATGAATTTACTTCAGGAAGATGATATAGTCTCATCTGCCCATTTCTTTCCACACCTTCCCAATAAATATATAAAACACAACACAAAGTTTTACTATTATTAATGAATAATAGGCCAAATGATTTAACTGAAATATTTACTGTGAAGTAAATGCAAATAAGGAAAAAAAACAATAATAACTAAGGACTCATAATGCACCCAACAAGAGCAGAAATTACACAAGTGAATTCACACAAATCGTTTTAGCTCTCTTCACATACATGAGTACTTTCAAGAAGTACTGAATAAAAGTTCAATACTGTTTCTTCACATATTAGATTAGAAAGGATGCCCACAGCATGCCATTCAAATAAAAAACTATAAACGAATGAAGAGATGACTCAATCTCACTAGTCTAATTATCATAAGCAATTCAAATTATCAATACCCTTCTTCTATGCGTAAAATTTATAAACTAATATCAAGAAAAAAAAATAATTCATAAAATTACATGAAAATTAATTGAGTGCATTACGGTGAGAACTAGGGATTATCATAAATTTGAAGCATCTGTAAATTTACTATTCACGTCAAATAATTTCAAAATTTACTGTTTTTTTTTTTTTTTTTTTTTTTTTTTTTTTTTTTTTAAATTTTCACAGAATTTTTTTTAAAAAAATGACATGGACACCACACGACTTCTTTACATGGCCTATTAAATTATACATGTTTCTTGTTGCCCTTCATTTAAACTCTTTTACTCGAATTATTTTAATTTAATTAACGAAGGAAATGACATAAAAAATTTCAAATTTTGAAATTAGAAATCCCAGTCTAATTTTGTCATTTGGGAGGTCAAACTTCTCCTAATTTAATTTTTCATAACCAGTTTATAACTTTCCCAAACAAAAGCATAAGAACTGGGAGACTGCATTAAAAGTTAGATCTTGTTGCCTGTCAAAAATTTATTTTATTTATTTATTATTATTTAATTTGTCATTGCCAAAACATGAATATTTTCATCATTTAAAACACTTCTGTAATCCGATGTATACTACTATGACCATCAAGTGTGAAAATATAGGCCGGGTAAGAAGGTGGGTCATATATATGTTTGGTACTGCCTACTGCAGGAAAAAGGGGAGATGTTCAACTAGATGCTGAAGTAGTGCCATACGCAAAATTTCAATGTTCTACAGTGAACTGTTTTTCAGTTATGCGAGATACATACGTACAGATGTCATGAATCCATTTTACAATCTGTTTTTGAAAAATCAGTCCTTTATTCTGCCCGCATATGTGGGCATCATCCAAAAAAATTGTCCGAATGGATTGGGGTACGATCAAAATGAATATTTCTGTTCAAATATGATACTGGAAATTTTTGTGATTACAATACTTCCTTTACTTCACACAAGAAAGCAACTGATGAATTAAATTAATTTCTATCAACATCATTCTAACTTTTAAAAGAAATATTTGTAATAAAAATTTTGCAATTATTTACAGAAATTAAATACCTTTTTCATCATCAAACTTCATTTTCATTTTTGCTTTTTTCTTTTGTTCGACTTTATCGGCTTCCAGATTTATTGTTTCAAATACAGTTTCTGCAATTTCTTGTTGCCACCTTTCAGATATAACTACAGGGAAGTTTTTATAAAGCTCCTGATCAGCATCTGTTAGCTAGAGAAAATACAACTCCAATAAACACATTTATACAGATATTAATGGCAAGTTTAAAAACTGTGAAACACTAGAAAACAAAACAGGTAAAAAGAAAAAAAAATTAAGATTATAAAATAAAATAACGTACACAAAAAAGAAAAGAAACTACCACATACCAAATATATTAACAGTTCATCAAGTTCTCCATCTTAATATATTATTATTTATAATCTAGAAATAAACATTAAATGAATGCATAATGAACTAAAGATTTAACACAACCAAGCTGGCACCAGCAGCAAAACTATTTTATATTACAAAAAGCAACCCTCATGCACATCACTTTCATAAAATCATAGCACTGCTTTACATATTCTACTTAAATTATCTTTTATTTATTTAAACTCATAACATAAATAAATATATTACTGTAATAAACTTAAAAATAATCTTATAAAGCCATAATAACTATATTGTAAAATCTAAATTTCATTGCCAAAAAAAAAAAAAAAAAAGGAATGAATAAATTAAAGGCTAAAATAAAGCAATCAGTAAAAGCAATTTACAACTGTCCATTTATACTATGTGTTTAAACACTTAATCATAATTTTTTTAATATAAAAGAAATTTCTATTTCATAATCACAGCTTAAAAAAATATAGCTTTATGAGAATTAATTAATTATGGCATAGTCTTTGACATGAAACTATTGTCAGGGTTATTATGGTTCCTTTTCATAGAGAAATGTGTAAAAGAAATTAGTCAATATTCCATTACACACACAGAGAGAAATAAAAAATTTTCACAACGAAGAAATGAAGGTATATTTATACCTGCTTTTACAATGAAATGAAAGTGTATAATAGAGCATTAAAAAAGATAATGACAGGTACTTGCCTCTTAAAATAAAATACTAAACAGCCATTTAAAACAATAAAATTTCTTAAAATGTAAAATTTATGAAGCCAGTTCAATGAATAGAAGCAATATTTGCTTTATATGCAGCCTCACACTGTAAATATTCACATTAGTTAAAAACATTTCGTACTTGTACATGCAAAATTCAGAAAAGTGCTCAAGAATAAATTCACTTATTTAGTTTCATTTCTCCATATTTACTTATGATTTAAGTCTTCAGTTTTTCATGAAGGAGAGCTAATTTAGCAAAAAATTCAAGAGTTGTTTGTATTGTTGATTAACAGTTCTACGTAAACATCTGCACAAAAATTTTTACTTAAATATATCAAATTATCAAAATTGTTGTATCCAAAGGCCTCCCTAATTTGATCAATTTCCTAAGCAATGATGATAGTCCAAGAGTAATCTTTCAATAATATTTAGTCATGCAATATTTTTTTAATATGCACAAGGGATTTCAGCTGAAGTTTTTTTCAGCTTAGCACAAGCACTTGTTAAATTTTCAGTGAAATTACGATTTTAGACATATAATGATGAAATCTAAAATAAGATAATCTCCGATACCCTGTACAACCAAATCTCAGTATTACCGGATAACTGTGTTATTTAATACCAGATAACTGTGTTATTTAAACCTAACTAGATAACTGTGTTATTTAATACCTAATATTTTACTAAAATAACATCCTTGGTACCAATTTTATTAACATTAATTAACCACGTTTTGTTTTGTTATTTCATTATTTACATATACATCACCAATTTTTTTATTTTACACAAACTTTTATTTATCTTTTTATATTTTATTTTATGACTCATTATTTATTGTTTCATTTAAAATTATTTTATTAATTTATTTTGTTCACTATTCCTGACTCTTCCACGGGGATTCAATAATTTTAGAAATTAAGCTAACCACCCTTTTGGAGCCAGCTGCGTGGTTTGAGTCTTATAGGCATGGTTGTTTGCAAGAATACAGTGTCTCTGCTGCATGAACTTACAATACTGATAAGTCAAAAGTCCTTTTGAGAGGTAGGTGATAAAGCGAGTGATGAAAGGTCCTTGGATCCTTTTTCCAGGACATTTCCTTCAAATTTGGAAGGGAGCTGGACAAATTTCTGTTGACATTTATTAAGGTTCTCAAACCTAAGCCAATGAGAAGTGCATCTCTTTCATTTAGGCAACAATAAAATTCGTAGATATAATATAGCCATAGGTTCAGATCAAGACGATTAGAAATAATAACAAAAATTAAGTCCTGTTTATCATTCATGGTGTTGAAATTGATAGCCAATTTTTTTTTTAAACACTATTCAGCCTAGCTTTGGACATAAATATTTTTAAATTCGTATTTTCAACAAAAACTATACAGACTGCCCTTAAAGATCTTACTTTGATCCCTTTGGTGTCTTCTTCATCAAAAGAACCAATATCAAATGCATCAGCTGCATTCACTTCTCCTCGGGGTGGAATGAGAGGGGGAGGATATTTCTGAAGATACACCAGCTGCCAATCAATACCCGTAAAAAAAGGGTGTTCCTTCACTTCATCAGCTCTTTAAAAAGAAATAAAATTGTAATTTCAAAGTTTGAAATAAATTATGTGCAACTTATAAATACAAATTTTTACACATTTTAAAGCTATTATAATTAAAACAAACACTAGGACTTTAAGCATAATTAAGCATCAGAATAATTTAATTTTTTTTCAGTTTAAACTAAGCATCAGAATACTGATTTCATCAAGACACATACAAATAAAATTACACACAGAAAGTTTTTAATAGAGAACTTCTACGTTCCAGAATATCTTGAAGAAAAGGGATTTAAATGCTGGGTATTCCAAATTTATTTTGACAACTACTTAAACTTTAAAAATATGACTTTTAAATTACATTCAGGTATTAATATGCAGGACCTGATTGAAATAGTCTTCGGCTCTAGGCAATGTGCTTCTAAAAAGGCTCCCAGTGGAAAATTTCCTTGTTTATATGAGAGAGAAACACGATTATGAAAAATTATGGAATGATTTGTGGATCCTCTAAAATATAGAATTCTGAGCTTCACTATCCTGTTTTAATTGATTATATGATTAATTTTTCTTCCCTTAATAGTTTTATAAAGATTTAGAGCACATGTAGCACAGTTTAACACAAAGTACATGACATGAAGATTTCCCAATTATATTTTTGTATGAAAGATATCTATTAATACATGATGTATAAGTAGGAACCCCCTCACACAACAGAAGCAATATTTTCCCTCCTGTATTGTGGCATTTTGTTTCTGAAAAGACATTACGCCTTATAAAACATGAGGATTGCTATAAAGTTATAAAACCTGAGGATAATATCATACATGATATAATTATGATACATATTTCATGCTGTGTATCTTATTTGATATTTTTATGTTTATATGTAAAAGTAATATTAGCTAACAAGCCATTTTTAAAATGCCTCAAATAAAGAAGTCTTAATTTTAAGATATCTTCATATTACTTTCTTTTATTTTTGTCCTTTCGAGGTATGCAGTTGATACTACATCAAAAGAGAATACTAAATTTATGTTTAATAATTACACAAATAAGCTTAATGAATGTTAGAAAACACGGGTTTTAACCATGAATATTTTAACCATTTCTTAAATAAATCAAAAATACTTGTATTTCTTTTTCAATGGCACTTTTACATTACTATTTTCTGTTTCTTTAACAATGTTCAACGGAAAATAGATTTTAAAACATAATACCTACAAAAATGAAAACAGACATGAACAGAATATAGACGAAACAAAAGCTTATTAGAACCTGTACATGGTAATCAAAGTTGATTATAATAAGCTATTTCATCATTAAATATATACATAGCTAGATGCTGTGTATACATATGTATTAACCTTTCAGCTTTAATATTTTCATCTTAAAATATGAAAAGATTAAGAGGCCAATACAGAAGCAAGAAGGGGCTAACTTAAAAATGACAGTCTATGACAAATACAAAAAAATTGATCAATATATTTGTAAAAACGAAAATAGATAGATGCATTGCAGCTCATATTAACATAACAAATACATACATAAATAAATACAAACAGTGACATACCCTTGGGCCTTACAGCCAAGCCTTTTATCCACATCCCTTTGAAGCAGGCCTTCCAAAAGATTTTTCAATTCAATACTAAAACTGTCAGGTAATTCCACATTCTGAAATGAATATAAAACCCTAAACTTACAAAAAAGTCTAAAAGCAATAAAATTTCCAAAATCTGGATTCAAATAGCACATTCACTTTCCAATTTAAAAATTTATGGGCAAACTTTAATGTGATAATTAAACTAAGTGTTCATAACACAGCTACAATACAAATTGAGGTAATATGTATTACACATAAGCATAATATGTGAATGAACAAAGCATAATACACAATACTCCTAACATATTCAGTTTTGATACAAGAGATCAAAACTGAATATGTTAGGAGTATTCTGAATGAAGGTTGATTTGTACACACATTCTTAAAAACATTTTAATTTTTAACTATGAATTATAATTATGAATTATATTTAACAAATATTTGTAGTTCTTCAAAAGAATTAAAATCCAGAAAACACAGTTTTATGATACTAATATCATTTCTTTTTACATGACAGATCAGAACTAAATATTATATATGATTAATTAAATTACACCTTGAAAAATACTTCTGGTTTATCTTTAAAAAATTATCTTCTAGTTAATGTTTCAAGCAACAAACATCAAAGACAAGTGTCATTTTATAATGCTTTTGAGAAATTTCCATTACAATTAAAAATTAAATTATTCATTATTAATGTCAAATAGCATTTACAAGCCCACAATACATTAAAACCTGGTAATTAATGAAGTATGGAATCATAACAATACCAATAAGTTTGCTGGTAATCATTAGCACTGAATGATTAAGATGTTTTTGGGCTTAGGTTTAATTTATGAATAAGGTGTATACATTTGTGGCACTGTTCCTCTTGTGAAAAACGGGTACTTAAAATCCATAGATCCAGCATTAGAAATATTGAAGAAAGGGGAAAATCAGTACAAGACCTTTAGGATTCTTCTTCTGAAGTGTTAGCAGTCAAAACTGAGATGGAAGTTTGGAAATCCATCAATATGCTACCGTAATTAAATAATCCAGTCCCAAAAAAGAAAGAAAAAATCTGAAAGCTTTCAAATTTTATATTATGCTCAAAGGGGCATTTTTTATCAGTTTCTGTATTACATTTATTTATCAAATATGATGTTCTGCACACTTAAACTATAAAATCAATTCAACAGCAATATCGCAAAATATTTAAAAGAGCATATCTTTAGAAATTTTGATACACAGTCTTACACATTCTAGATTAATCCCCCCCCAGTACAATATTGCCATTGCTCGCTTTGAAATCGTTGAATATATTAATCAAAAACTCAAAAAAGCTTTACAAAATATGAAATAGATAATAAAACAAATTCCAAATTTGGGCTTCCAGATGCCCATATTTGGGTGGAGATGTACACTATTCAGAATTTGATGGCTCTAGGTACCGTTGTTTTATCACAATGTCAGAAACATAAATACATTTATGCAGATTCTTCATTATTTAATTTCTTTAAATATAATACAGGTCTCTCATATTTGGTAGCAACAATTTAAAAAGTGATTTGCCATTTATAGTGAATCAATGCAAAATGCTAAAACTAAATTAATAGTTCTTCTGGGCAATTGCCCCTTTGGGCTAATAAACAAAACAGAATAAACAACTGAAATGAAAAGACTTTTGTTTAAGGTGACATTTGCAATACATTTAAGAATTATTCATATACACATGCACATATATACATAACTTTTGCAATTCTATAGCTACAGAAATGCAGTTCACTATAGGAAAAGTAACTAGATGCTATCCGTTCAAAATGCCGGTAGTATATCAAGACTTTTTAATTAATTATTTATATAATTTTATGTATAATTTGAATGTGTATCTTCTTTAAATCATTTAATATTCATCACCAAAGAGACCTCAATAATTAGGGATTACTTTCTGTTTTAATGAATTAATAAACAGGTTGCAACATAATGTTGAATCAAACAACTATGTCTAGTACAAAGCAAATATATAACCAAAATATTATTCAAATTTTAAAATTATAAAGTTTTTGTAGCATACCATTGTCAGTGTCATTCTATCAATTTCATGCTTATCTTTTGTTTTATGCTGCCTGAATGGGCTGTGACTGCAACAATATAAAACAGAATATTAAAATATTATCAGATAATAATTATTCCACAACTATTTTTAAATAATAAAATATTTGAGTTTTAATTACAAGAGACATTTTTAAGTAAAGACCATTTTGCAATAAAAATTTAATTATTCAATATTTTCCTCAAATTCTATATGCCAGTGTTTCAGCTGCTTTTTTAAAAAATTTCTATTGTTACTAAGTATTTATTATGAAATGCAACAAGTTTTTTTTTTTAATTCATATCATATGATTACAATGCCTGAAAGAGTAATTATTCCTGAACCTTTGTTTGCAGCTTTTCACCAGTTTTAAAATACTTGTCATTGCAGGAAGATGCAGTAGTCTATTGGTATCAGATCTAGTTGCATAGCTATTGCTGTCATTCAAAAAAGATTCAATTATAGCTTAGTACATTACACTGGAGCCTTACATTAAGGCAATAAAACTCTAGCAAACAACATGCCTGAGTATTTGTTCTGAATTGTAAAGAAGAAGCCTGAAAATACACACCAGTGTTTATAGCTTTTCTTATGGCATGTCCAACAGTAACACACTTCCATTTGATCCAGAACTCAACTGCTAAAAATTTGTGAGTTGAGAATATTTGTCTGAATTTCACTGTCATTGGAAATGAAATATTGGTAATTCAGCAGCTGCTGCTTAAATTCAGAAGTCATGTGAGATAGTCACGTTTCAATCCCAGGATAATATGGTTCAACAGTTCATAAACTTCCCTTACTGTATAACATCAAAAATGTCAAAGCATTGGCTAGTCTTTTCATTTTGCATTTTGCATTGATAACAGAAGAATTCTGTGATTTTCATCAAAGATAAATAGGGAGGAAGAAAAATTATAATTCTCTCTCAGATTAATAGCCACAAGCAGTGGGAGTGGTAACCTCAGAGATGTGGAACTTAGTATTTATTCATATTCTCAGAAATAGTTACTGGTCATTTTTCAGAAGAGGTCATCTTAAAGAGGTTGTGATGATAGAAATTGTGTTTACTTGTTTTGAAGACAGACTAATGAGTGCAATAATACATGGTGTGCTAAAACATTTGTGAAAATCATATTAAAAAGAGAAATCAATATGATCATACCATAATAAATGACAATTTTTTATTGTAATGGATCTCATACAACTACTCATTAAAAATCATTTTATCTCCAAAATATCACAAACAGAAAAACAGACTATTTCTTGGTTTATATATGTATGGTGATAAACAAAGAAGGCTAAGAAACCTTCGGATTGCCTCCCGAGGTGTTCTCCCTCAAAACTGAGATGCAGCTGCACAGTTTGTGTTTGGGGACTGTGGATACCTGTACTACCTGTGTACTGTAAATTCTGGTGTCCTACCCATCTATAACTGTATTTATGTGAAGCTAGCTTTTCATGCTGCTCCCCTCTCCAAAGTTTAAACTTCAAATTACTGCACGAATATATTTTACTCCAAACTCTTTCATGTTTTACAAGAAAGCTTTCACAAAGACAAACTATATATCACTAGAAGTTAAAAAATTAATTTCCTTATATGAGTGTTGAGGAAATTTAATTTTTTTCAACTGACAAGTATGAAGCAATTAAAAACTTAAAAGTATGTGTAAGGCAGTTATGAGAACAGATAAAAAGACAGCCAGTCCTTCTTTGTAATGAAATGGGATGTCATACAATCAAGTACAGCAGCCCTACCTGAGGTGAAGAAGAACAAATAGATGATGGATACTAGGTGGGAGAGGCATATTAAGCCATGTCCTTTGATTTATACATATTTGATATGTGAATTCATTTGCTAATTAACCTGTAAATAGTGTATTAATAAACATTTATCTTCATGAAATTTCAAATTAAGTATTGATGCAGAAACACTGCTTACGTACAGAATTTTCAAGACATAATTGCAATTTAGCATATAACAAAGCTGTTTAATTTTTTTATCTCCAGTCTGTTTCATGGTGGATTCTGTGAAGTGTGAAAGATGATTAAGAAGAAAATTTAATGATTATTCAACAAGTATTTTAAAGGAATCGCAAGTGTCAAGATTTGAATTCAAATAAATAGTTGGACATACATCTGAAAAAGGTAAGAACATTTATTTGCTATGACGAAAAAAGTAAAAGATAGTGAAAAATGCTCAATAACAAAGCTTATAAGTAAAATAGATAAGAATATTGCAGAAAATAAACCAATGAGTAATTTGAAAACATTATTAAATCTGTTAAACACTAAAATTTAAAATATCAAATTAACTGATAGTTCTATACTGAAAGAAACAGTAAAAAATTTTGATGCAGAAATTACTTTTGTAGAGAGTATCATGATAATCTATAAGAATACAAGAGTAATTTAATTCTTAAAATATAAGAATTATCATAAAGTACTAGATATAATAATGCTAATGAAGGAGTAAATGTGTTCATTTCTAAATATTTTCCAAACTAAAGTACAAAAACTTCATTTATAAAATTACCTACATTGACTACCTAAGGAAATTTCATGGTGATCCTATTAGTTGGTTAAATTTATAGGACAATTTGAAAGTGTGATTTATAAATATCTGAATTTTAAAAAAATAAAAAATTAGTTTATTTAAAGAGCTTTCTTGGTTGCACGGCCACCAAAGCTACTTCTAGTTTTGTTCTTATTGATAATAATTATGAAGCTGCTCTTAAAATTTGCATTCCAAATCTAAACAAACTATGAACATCTTAATTAATTGGCATTTAGAAACAACTTTTAAGTATTTCCCCTGTTAGAAATCCTAATCGCATATATGAACTAAGGAAACTTCTCAACTACATCAAAGTGCAGATAATGAATCTTGAAGCATTAAAAACAGATACTGATTCCTATGGAAATATTTTAGCCTTTAATTTTGAAACTGCTTCCAAATGAATTTGCTCTTGATTACCACCGAAAAATTAAGGATGAAAATTAGAATTCAAGAGGTTTTGTTCTTTTCAGAGACAAAGTATTCAGTAGGGAACATGTGGCTTCTATCAATTATAATTCAAAACATAAGTTCTCATGATTAGAAAAGTCACTACCTTTCAAACCAAAACTTTTCCCCATCAAAACAAATAAGCCATTGACAGTTAAATTATTAGCAGCATCAGTCAATTCTCAGTCACTACTACCTTACCAGTTTTCTAACTTTATTACATAAAAATTTTGTCATTACATACATATCAAAGCAAGAATAAAACATTTAATAAAGTTTTTACCCTTAATTCCATCATAACCAAAATTCTATAAAATAAAAATATTATTACCCTTTAAGTAGCTTGTATAACATACATCCTAAGGAGAACCAGTCAGCACTTGAGTCATAAGCAGTTCCTTTTGATAGTACTTCAGGAGCCATATAGCCATGAGTACCCCTAAAAATTATATATTACACTAATGCAAAATCTGTATATAAAACCCAACTTAGCAGCAATTTATGGAACTTAAAAAATACCCCATAAATATTAAGCCTCAAAATGAATAAGAATTAATTAAATTACATAATTATTCATTTGACATCATTTTCATGTGATAAAGTCAGGAACTTTACAAAAATCGGGAATCAAAGCTCAAAGTGATACTGATCAACAGTATATGATTGTTAACATTATTTTGTTGCTTAAAGTTACCTGATTATATTTAATCCTCTAAAGGGTCAATAGTGCCCACTGAAATTAGTGCCCACTATTGAAAAATATTTACTTACTTATAAAATAAAAAATTTATTATAAGTAAGTAAATTGTAAGTAATAATATTTTTATTTTATAAGTATAAATCACACAAATAGTGATCCATGTTTGGAAGCCCTCATTTGAACAGTATACTGAAGTGTACAATATACAATACAGATGTCAAGATAATAAAAAAAAGCTTGTAAATGCACTGATTCAGGTAATCTTAGAAGTTTCACTTGGTAAAACTTTGGCTTGCTTGGTCATTGATTATTACAGAGAAACTGTTCTTACATTCCCATATTTTACAATTTTTCCCATTTTATATAATAAGAGCCCAGTTCACAAAAGGGATGCCCCAAGTCAAAACTGTTATGGAGAAACCTTCATCTAATTTTTTATTGTAATAAGATGCCACTGATGTAAATTATACAGTCAAAAGTCATTAATTCGGACACCCATAATTCGGAATGATCTATAATCCGGACCTCAAAGCTAAAAATTTTCTGCGCATGCTCTGCGTTGACACATGCGCATAGGCGTTTACGCGTGCGCGTAAGACCTCTTACGACTGCGCATTTGCGTGTGCGCAAGCGCAGAATACGTTTTCAAGTGCGCGTTTTATGTATAACGGACGGTGTAAGCTAAAATTATATAATTATCTATTTCAGTTAATGTTGATGATTGCATTGTTCCTTAATTTTCGAATGGATCCGGCTTATTATTTTTTGCAGACTATAAGAGCAATACTAAAAAAGTAAACTTTAACTTTTGATTATGTCAAATAGAATTTTTGATTCTGGAGCTCCCAAACGATCGTACAAAACGAAAGTATGTTTCGATGTCCATCAAACAAAAAGTGGAATTGCTGCAAAAAATGGATAAAGACATGAAGAATGGTGACAGAGAGGTTAGTGAAAACGAAAAAATTTCGATTGACAAGTTAGTCGGTATTCTCGGCACAGCAATTACAGGACTTGAACAGCAGAACTTTGTAACTGAACAAGAAATTATGTCTGTTTATATAGAATTAAAGAGAAAGTATTAGCATATAAAACAAAGCAACTTGAACAATTTGCACTGGAAGAAATGTTTAATAAAGTAAACAAATAAATATTAAACTTTTTTTTTTGTAAATTTTGATACACTTTAGATCATAATTGTTCTTCATTTCATAAATTACGGTTTCATATTTTTAATTTTAGAATTTCTGCATGCCATCTTAGGCGATTTAAACTGATGATCTATAATCCGGAAAAATCGATAATCCGGAATCGCCGAAGTCCCGACGAGTCCGGATTAATGACTTTTGACTGTATTTTAAATAAAGTATTTTGTGAAACAACTTTATAATATCTTTCATTCAAGTTATTTGGAGGGAAAAAACTGTGTGCACCTTTTTGTATGTTTAGTTTTTTACGATTTCAGTTTAGTATGTAGTGCACAAAATATGCACTAGGATCTGATTTCCCTAAAAGAAATTGAAGAAAAAGGTACATGCTATGAAATTCTCATTTGTTTTACTACAGGCCTTCAGTTACAGGGAAAACACCATATTATTGCAGCTGAATTGTTTATCAAGTCAAATATATGAACAAAATGTAGAATTAAAAACTTATTTCTTTCCGATACAGAAAAAATCATTTCTTCTGGGGACTTCTTATTTTTAAAATCTAAAATGGAAAAGCATATATAAAACTTTACACACTTTAAATATTGTAGGAGGAGTCAGAAGTACCTTGAAAGTAGATGCCCTTGGCATATACTCATTTGGGCAGTGTGAAAATTAGGCTTCATACATAGTAACTGAGGTTCCACAACTAGCTTACTGAAATGTATTAGAAGCTTTTTTTACTATCTGCATTGTTAACTAATAAAATTTCATGCGACATGCACTTCTTTATTTGAAACCAATGTACTTTTATGTTTTTTTAATTTTCTTCAGTAATTTAGTCAAAAATATTTTCAGCACTTTCTCCATCAAGAGCTTGAATCTCATTATTGTTGTCTCATTATTACATGAAGATGTTTTACTTTAAAGTGATGCTAAAAAAAGTTATCAGAAAATCTGAATTTACAAGAACTATCACACAAAATATTACCTGCCAATCAAGGAAATATCAGAAAATGGAAAAACAAGCCTTGCCTTCTGCAGAAGAATAAGTCTTCTGCAATATATACCAAAAGGCTATAGATACCAAAAATACAGAACACTAGCACTGTATTGGAAAAGCAATGATAAGCAATCTAAAAAACAAATCTAACAAAAGTCACAAATTTCTACATACATATTTTATTCATTCACAGATACATAAAATAAATCATAAGCATACAACAACAACATCTCATCAAATTGTAATTGTTTTTGTTGATGATTTGAGAACAAACAAAGTAATAGATACCTTTTACATATTTTAAAGACAGTCAGTGTTGAAAAAAAGATGAAAGATGTTATTAAGTATCATTATGCTGTAGCTGCCAACCTTAAAATCTCAAAAAAATGGTGTGTGTGTGTGTGTGTATTTGATTGTGGCAAAGCACTTGAGGGTTATCTGCCTAAGAGGCAGGATACCTTCATGGCTAACTTTCTAAAAGGAAACTGACTTGAATACATGTTACACAAGGGGAAAACCACAAAAACGCCTATGCAACCAGCCTGTTTTCTGGATTCATACCTCAGACTGAACTGCCAGTGTTCAGCGATTTTACCGCTCAGCTGCTGGTGGGCCCTGAAAAACTGGAATATGTTTTGTGTGAAAACTGGGTAAGTTTTCATACTGTACCATTTCAAAGGAATTTCAGATTGTCTTAAATTCACTTTAATGCATGATTTAGGTTATTGAACTATTTATATATTATTCTGATTATAAAATATTTTAATATTTAATTAGATATTCTAAATTTTATGTTCTTTGGTTAATTCCATTTTTTATTCTTATATTTTTATACTGAAAAAACTTCATATAGGGAAGAAAGCTTTTATTTAACAAAAGTACTTAAAAAACCACAAAAATAAAATAAATAACAATTAACATAAATAGTATTTGTGTAGATAAGCTCAATAATGTACCACATATTGAGGTAAAACAAATTGAATACAAATATTGAAAGATTAAACATTGCTGAATGTCCATATAAAATTCAATCAATGTCAACAGGGTGTTAAGGCAATTCAGATAAAATTAATTTTAACAAGAAAAATTTAATATAAATGAAACTTAACATGAAAAAGATCATAAAGTGTAATAAGAGAAAAAATAAAATTCAAATCAAATAAAACTGAATAGAAAAAAAATATTCTGAAACTCACAAGGCATGGGGAAATGAAATTTATAAAATTTATGCTTCATTAATTCTATAAATTTCATTTATTGCATAGAATTATTTTCTTCAATAAATGCTAAAACATTAAAAATGCATTAAAAAAGAGCAGTTGGCAGCTATGTTATGCATATTAATTATAATAAAAGTAACATTCGATAATGCATTTAGTTGACATGAGTGAACTATTTTGGCTGCTCAATCCCTCCATAAATTTAAGTAATAGTTTTCTAACCTGTGCTTTTTTCCTTCTATATTTATCTTCCTCAACAGCATTTCTCAAACAATACATTTCCAATATTTAATGGTTCAATCTACTTTTTACAGAGACCCATGAAATCAGAATTTCTGACAACTTGGAAACAAAACTGCTATTTACAATCTCTAGTAAAGTTTTACATTTTAAGTTTCAATAACAACTTTCTGATCAACAAAAGCATTTCATATCATTTTGGTTTAGAAACAGAAGATGATTTCATACGAAAATAATAAACACTACAAACTTAAATTTAAAGGAGGAGGGAAAAGAAAGACTAAAAAATCTTTCAATATTAAAAATGCCTTAAAAAAAGCTCTACAGTAGTTATGTAACAATCGAGTTGTTTCTAAACCATTTACGAAGTTTAACATGGGACTCATAAGAGTTTATAAACATTGAATGTTTTTAGATACTAGATTCCAATATTCTATCACTTGCCTATGATTATGATTATGATTAGCACTTTATTTTAGCTGCAGGTCTCTCACAAAACTCTTATTCAAAAAAAAAAAAAAAAAAAAAAAAAAATACTAATGAGTGTTTAATGATTTTGATACATGTAATGGAACAATATTTATTCATTATACATATAATGAACTTTACAGGAAGAAAAACTGACTTTAAGACAGACATGAACAATTAATTACTCTGATATAATCCAATTCAGTTGTTCTGTTGTTGTTGAACAGAAATTAAAATTGTTTTCCCGCATTAAAAATTGGCTCATACTGGACAGAACTTTAGGAATATCTCAATGAGTGAACCACAGTTAAATATTGTCAACGTAGCCCTGATAAGTTTTACTTACTACTCAACCAGAGGCATTAGATTTGGATTTCATTAACAAAGTTTACTTAATTTACATGCAGATCTGAGGGGCAACCAAATTTTGTATAAAGTTTCTAGAGACATTAGGTATATTTTGGAAGCAGGCAAGATGAAAAATTAGCAACGCCTTTGCCGGAAATCGAACAACGGACCTCTGGAATATGCGGCCAGCGTGCAGACTACCACACTACGAAGGCACGCCAAGGAGGTGGGAGAAATACCTTTAAGTTACAGGAATAGCTCATAACTTCACACAGTTTTAGCATTGACACTGACTGTCTTCTATTTAAATCTGTATCTTGGCAATTAACAACTGCCTCACATCAGAATGAAAATCTCAAGATAGATTTGGTTGGTAAGAGCAGAAATTTCAATCACTGTTAGCAACTGTAAATGAAACTTACAGCTCCTTAGAAGAAATTGGATGTTGTAATTAGAAGCAGTTTCAAGAAAAATTTGCATTTACATCCAAGTCCAAATGACTAATAATTTCGTGCTGTAATTTTTTAGCATAAATTTCACAAGTAGAATAAATTTAAGGTACATCTGCGTCTATTTACTTGAATACTTTAGTTACTCTAGTAGTGAAAACTCGCCCAAAGAATTAATGTAATGCCTAGATAAACTTCTGTTGGAGCTCGTTGAGTTTAGTTAAGCTCCATACAGATCTTAAATAGAGTTATTAACATATCGTATACATGTATAAAACTTTGTTCTGATATTTCTATCTCGAAAGGTGAAAATACAACATAACAAAACAAAGATCAAGTCAAATGGTACGAAAATTTCTAACAGATAGAATGTCTTGTATACTGAGCCAATCAATGAATATGTATCAATATCTCAGTGAATAATAATATCCATATATTATTGAATGAATCTGTGCACACTTTACATCAGCAAATCTGGATTAGAAAGAAATGAAAATAATATGCTAGAAATCCCTGTAAGCTTGTTTTCCTCTTAGACAGGCCAAAAGCAACTTCTAGTTCTCCCTTTTATTGAGAAAAGAGATGAGAGTGTAATTTTTTCAACATTGCTAGATAAAAGGGGGGCAGGCAGGGACCAGCTCATTATTCACTTTGAAACATACCTCTATACAAATTACAATACAGAAGATAAGAAATTAACATAAACCCAATTCTATGGATGTCACTGGCCTTCTTTAAAAATCTGATTTCTCCATGATTTTCTGCAAAATCATTCCAAGTTTTAATAAAATGCCCACTAAAATTTTGTTTCTGCTTTGCAACAAATATTTTTTAAATCCAAGTTTCTTATAATAGGAATCAGCTTTAACAACCCACCACGTAAAATATTAATATCACCTACGAATCCTTTTTTGGCACTGTATTAAAACATCACATTAAAAGTCACAGAACATAAACTTCATGAAAATTTATAACATATGCAAAAAATAGTTCCTAAAATGATCAATACATAAAAATATTTAAAAACGTAGCTTACACGCTAGCATGGGGTTTTTTCTTTGAAAAATCACAAGCAAGTCCTAAATCAGAAATACGTACATGCCCGTGCTCATCAAGTAAGATATTAGCAGGCTGTAACAAGAAAGACAATTCACACAATAATATAAAATCGTTTAAGACACTTAAATATATTCAGAGAGATGGACAAATAACATCAACATATTAAAAAAGATATAAAAATGAAATATTAAAGAATGATAATAGAATACATTACAGAGCCCTGTATAGTTATTTCTAAGAATCTGTATAACTATTTCTAAGGTTTAAAATAGTCAATAACATATTGAAATATTATACGTTGATGAAAAACAGAAAAATATTTATTTCTTTTATTTCCATATAGGAATATAATGAAATTAAGCATTTTTAAGTGATCTTTTTAAATATTTTTAAATATTTATTACTTTGAAGTATATAAATGCATACATAAAAACATGTATGGCCATTAAAACATTGCACTTATACACAATATAAATTCTGATAACCAGTATTACTAAATCCACAATAGTTTGTAATCCACATATATTTTTTGATGTGCATAAAAAGTTTTTATTTAAAAAAATTCAACATGACAGCAAATTTATAGGAATTTTTCTTTTGCATAATGTACATGTTTTAACTAAAATATACTACATTTATAGCATATTTTGGTTCTTCAAGAAGTAAATTTATTCCATTATCAAAGTTATTTAGCATTTTATACCCTGCATTTACTCCCAACTTTTTAATGAATAAAGATCCTGTACATGAAAACTTTACATTTTAAATAAATCCCTATTTTTGGGTGTATATTATGCAGTCTTTTTAAATTTTATTTTGCATTTGTATTTTTATATTAAAAAAAAAAAAATTATTTATCTGTCACTTTCAGATGTCAAGCTCAAACTTAAATGCACTGCTTCAGAAACTGATAGAATTAATAATAATATTGGTCCAATCCCACATGTGCTAAATATTGTTAAAGAATTGGCTTTAGGATTCATTCACATTATTGGGGCATTTAAGAAAAGTACATTTATTTACTTAAGCTCTCATTAAGAACATAAAAACTATTTCCAAAATCATTTGCTGTTAAAAATATTTACATAAATTACTTCAGTGTGCTTCTGCATAAGTTCTTTCTATCCTTATCATTCATCCCTTCCCTACATTAAATTTTTCTCTCATACCAACATTGTTTTCATTGTACACTGCACCAAAAAAGTAGGAGGGGTGGACAGTTCTCCCGTTCTACTAGGCCAAATGACAAAACTCAAATTGCTTTTCCATTGTCTTGAAAGCGCGATTTAGGATACATATTAGATTTAAATATATAGCATTGTTCTAACATAGGTATTCTGACGCAAAAATCTGACTTTTTCTGAAATAACATATCTTCCCCCCCCCCATATTTCGATTCTACAACTCAAATTATACCAAACTACCAAGTTTTGTAAAAATTGCACAAGTAGTTTTTAAAAAATTAGTCCTCAAAATTTTAGCTCCTCCATGTTGAGTTTGGTATATATTTATTAAACTTATTTGATTCCTCTTTTCACATTTCGAAATTCAGGTTCATTCCAAATAAAATTCACCCATTTTTTATGATTCATTTTTTATGATTTATTTTTAAAATTTGTATTTTTAAGTATTTTTTACAAATTTTTCAAAAAAGTTTTAAATTATAATCTATAAAATTTTAACGTCATCTTAAAGTAGATATATTTCTAAGCATACCTGCAAAAAATTACAGTTTTTTATTCAAAATTTTTTAGGATACACATGAATTTATATATTGGCGCATTTTAAAATTTGGCATATTTGTTGAAAAGGATGAAATATCAAATGTGGTTTAGGCACTTTGTTAAAATTTTTTGAAAGTAAGAATGATGTAACTTTTTTTCTGCTATGGCACAATGGAAGGGAAAGGAAAATAAGTTGCTATATACTTAGAAGTTCGCCAAGTGAATTATTCTTGGGGTAAATTTAAAAAATTGTGCCAAGATAAATTTTTGAATTTCTCCATAAATTTTGCACCAAATTTTACAAAATATCTAGGCATGATTTGAGTTGTAGAATTGAAATATGGGAAAAAAAATTGGTATGTTATTTCAGAAAAAGTCCGATTTTGTGTCAAAATACCTATGTTAGAACAATATGCTATATATAAATCTAATATATATCCTAAGTTGCGCTTTTGAGACATGAAAAACGCAATTTGAATTTTGTCAATCGACCCAGTAGAACGGGAGGTACAGAACTGTCCCCCCCTTTTTTTTGCGCAGTGTTCTTAAAAAACTGTATGACTTTAATACGTAATTCTATATTTAATAATTCTTAAGTATGTTTTAGTTAATTCTTTATGTGCAAACAAAGTAAATGTAAAATAAAAATAAGGAAGGCAATAATACAAATAAAAGTTAAAAAAACATGACATCATAATCCACTTAATTCTCTCATCTTCACTGCCTTTGGTCTTATGGCACTCTGATTACCTGAATTCTCCTGTGTGTGTATACATATACATGTACATGTTGATTAAAAAATACCTGCCAAAAATATAAAGGACTGAAAGAAGCAGATTTTGAAAACAGATGAACCAGAGATAAATAAATATCAGTGACTATTAAAGTCAACGAAATTAGATTAAAAACATTTGCTTGCTAGCTACATATTTGCATCAAACTCTATTTATAGTATAACTTTATACTAAAGGAAATTATTTTAACTACTGTAAAGGCCCTTATTTTCGCGAAAATGAATATATCGGCGATTTTGTGAGTTGAAAATTTCACGAATTTTATATGAACAGAACCGAAAGTTGAAAAATTTTAAAAGTACCTAATAAAGTTGAGAATGTTGAAAAATTCCAAAAGTACGTCTTTTGCATAAAGCATTTTAAGAAATTTCTTGTACCTTGTAGCATTTTTCATCGTTTTTAAGGCACACCAAGATCCTCTTTTTCTCACTGAACTAGAGAAGAGGAATAATATTCCAGTTTTTGTGCCCGTTTCCAGCACAGAAGAGCTCCAACCTTTGGACTTAACTGTAAATGGCAAGTTCAAGCATTTGCTCAAGAATGAGTTTATTGAGTGGTATTCTAATGAGCTTAAGAAACTGTTGACTTGCGAATATCACGACTAAAACTGATTCACACTTCTTGGCTTGTGCTTAACAGTCTTGAAGCCAAACATGAGATAATTTTGAATGGCTTCAAAGAAGCTGGTATAAATAGTATTCTAAGTGAATGAGCTGCCTTCTATTAATTTTATATTCGGGAAATATACTTGTATATTATTCAAAAAATAGTTACAAGAAAGAAAGTTGTCAAGAAAAAGCTTGTAACTGTGCAATAAATCATTAAATTTTGGGTAAGTGAAAAATTCTCGACACAGTAATTACAGGACTTGAACAGTGGAACTTTGTAACTGAACAAGAAATTATGTCTGTTTATAGAATTAAAGAAAAAGTATTAGCAGAAAAAACAAACTTAAACAACTTTACATTCAAAGAAATGTTTAATAAAGTATAAACAAATAAATATTAAGTTTTTGTTTTGTAAATTTTGATACACTTTGGATCATAATTGCACTTTATTTCATAAATTACGGTTTCATATTTTTAATTGTATAATTTCTGAATGCCATCTTACCAGACTTAAATTGATGATCTATAATCCAGAAAAACCCCTAATCCGGAATCGTCAAAGTCCTGACGAGTCCGGATTATGGACTTTGTACTGTATTTACATTAAATGAAAACAGATTTACTTGGGTACTCAGACACTTTAATTCTCTTACTTTTAGAACAAATTCATTATATTAAATTCATGTGGGAGAAAGATCTTATATATACACTAGGTTTTTCATTTATAAAATATCTTCCACTTAGAATTCCCTTACATACGAAATTATATTTAGAATAACAAAATATATTTTGCAGATGGTCATACTTATTTATAAAATATATAAACCTAGGATTATAATTTAAACACATGTACAAAAATTTTCAAAACCTTAAGATCTCTGTAAACAACAAAGCGCTTATGCATATGTTCTAATCCCAAAATCACTTCAGCTGCATAAAACCTCATCTCTTGTTCAGAAAAGACACCATGCTGGGAGAGATGGTAATGTAGATCACCACCTATGAAAGTATATAGAGCCATTAGAAATGAAAATTGTACCTAAGTGAACAAACCTGAGAAATGAAATCAAAAATCAAAATTAACATTGGGCTAGCAAAAATATAATTAGAATAATTTAGATGGAAAATGTATGCAATGATGACTAAGCATATTATTGTTGTTACTGCAGATGTGTTTGTTTCAAAATTACAGAGCAGGGGAAAAAACAAGAAACAACAGAGGGAAAAAATTCCTGGCTTCTTGCAAAATGTTGCACATGTTGAGAAAATGAGAAGTGAGCATGAGCATGTACAAGGGGTAATCAAATGAAAAGGTACAAAATGACGTAAAATCGTAACAGTTAAATATTTGCATATGCCGCCATGGGAGAACGCAGCACGACATCTCGGGATGCGATTCGAGTCTCTGACTGGGATCGAAGCATGCGCGGGCACCCGCATGCGCAGGAGAGAGCAGAGGCTCTTATTAAAAGCAGCGTCTAAATGATGCAGCAATCCGTATGAGGACAGGATGGCGTTCGTGTTGCAAAATTCGACGAATGAGGAGCAGTGAGGTGTTATCCGATTTCTGACAGCGGAAGGTGAGAAACCGGCAGCTATTCATTGCTGGATGGTGACAGTTTAAGGGGAGAAATGTGTCTCTGACAAGGCTGTCAGAAAATGGAATGCCAATTTTCGTGCAGGTCCTGAGAGTGTTGGTGATGACCCGAGACCAGGCCAGGCAAACACTGTCATCACGAGCAATCTCATCGACACGGTGGACGACCTAGTGAGAAGTGAACGGCATGTCACATTGCGAATGTTGGCAGTGAAGGTGGATGTCAGCTATGGAACCGTGTGGACAATTGTTCACGACAGGTTGCAATATCGGAAGGTGTATGCTACTTGGGTTCTGAAGCAGCTCACCAACCAGCAAAAGGAACTGCATATGCACTGCAGCATCTGTTTCGGTATCAGGAAGACCCCACTTTCATGGAGCGGATCATCAAAGGTGATGAGACCTGGAGCCATCACTACGAGCCAGAGACAAAGCAGGACAGCATGCAGTGGAAGCATGCGTCGTCACATCCCTCTAAAAAATTCAAAGCCGTGCCATCAGCAGACAAGGTGTTGCTCATCGTCTTTTTTCGATGTTCAAGGTCCGCTACTTGTGGAATTCCTCGAGCACAGAAAAACCATTAACTCTGATGTGTACTGTGAGACACTCTGATGCATATGCATGTCCATCAAGAACAAAAGACCGGGGCTGCTCACGGAGGGTGTGGTTCTGCTCCATGCTAACGAGCGTCCACACATCTCCAGAGTCACACACATGGAACTGGCCAAGTTCAAGTGGAAGACGTTGGACCATTCACCCTACAGTCCGGACATGTCACCCTGCAATTTCCATGTGTTTGGTCCACTGAAGAAACACCTGAAAGGGAAGAGCTTCAATTCAGACTACGTACTTAAGAACGCTGTGAAGGACTGGGTCTCGTCACAGCCACAGGAATTCTGGGAACAAGGAATCCTGCATCTTGTTCATCAGTGGGATCGATGTGCTCAGGCCTATGGTGTATATTTTGAATAAAGTCTACATTTGTACCCACCGTGCCATTTCGTACCTTTTCATTTGATCACCCCTTGTACAAACATCCACTATAAGGTTCAAATTCTTAACAATAAATTTTTTCATCGCCTATAAATTTGTTTTCAGTTTTTTTATGTGATTTACTGAAATAATAATGAAAACATATGTTGTTCCCTTAAACAAGTGAACATGTTCCTTTGTCAATAATGAAAACATTCCATTATTTTTACAGTTGAAATACATTTCTAACATAAATATCGAGATCCTATTATAAAGTATGCAGTCATGATACAAAATACTAATGGCATTTTGACATAGAATTTATTTCTTTAGAATTTCATCAAAAGTCTGTTCTGAAGCTGAAATCTTAGCTCATGCAATATAATATAAGAAGGTGTCTCAAAAAATGTCAATCTCAGCATCTGCTCTGTTTTACTGCTGACAAACCAGATTTACATTGGAATTTGTGTCCAAAAATGTGAAAGGCAACCACTAAAAAGCAATGTTCGCAGGCTTATGGGAGAGTGGGAAGTGTGATCATTTCAGGTGAGGATACTGCAGGAGAAGGATGAATAAGTTTACTAACTTAGTTCTTTATGAACATTTGTGTGACATTTTCTGAAAGAGTGTTGCCAATCTGATGGTTGACATTCCGGCATTTACACACCGAAACATCTGGTTCCATCATGACAGAGCACCTGCACATTTTAGCAGCACTATGTGGGAATGCCTCGATAGGACATATCTTGATCACTGGATTGGCAGAGGTGGCCCAGTCGCATGGCTACTATGAATTCCTGACCTAACACCCCTGGATTTACGCCTGTGGAGATACATTAAGTCTGTTTTGTACAAGATAACTGTAACATTGCATATAGATCTCGTAGGCAGAATCTCGAAGGTGGCAGCCCATTTAAATGACACACCTGCCCATTTTGAACAGTCCGTGAATCCATGCATCAATGTTGTGAAGTATGAATTTTGGTGAATGGAAAGAATTTTGAACATCTTGATTTAAACATGTTCTTTAATAAATGTTATATTAATACAATACAACTTTCGACACCCTTTCCTTTCCCACAATGCAAACATTGCCCTCTAACAGTCACCGTTTGCATTTTCACACACAAGTTCCTATGTAAATCTTGTTTGTCATGGTATGACAGACCAACATGTTGAGTTTAGCAACGACCTTTCGAGACATCCTTTATACTACTTGATTCAATTCAAACTAACTGCCCCCCCCAAAAAAATATATCCTAAGAAAGCTTCATGACCACAGTTTGTCATTTTTAACCATCCTATTGTCACGTTTTGAGAGCAAAGGAACAGTATAAACAAACAGAACAAAGACCTTGTAGAGTTCCTCACTTTGTAATTCTAAGTTATTGTTGGAAGTGAAGAATCTTAAGAATTGATAAGCGAATAATCGCTTGAGTTCGTGTAACAGGAAACAACAAGATAGAAGGGTAAACTAACCTTTTATTATTCCAACTAAAGTTTAACAAAACTCTGTCTTGGAGAGTACAATAAAGATAACACTTGGGCTTCAACTTAAAAGACTAAGAATTAAACTAAACTAATCTTAACTACAGGAGATATAGCTGAAGCTATAAAATTTCTTACAGAGTTCGCCCCTTAACGTTAATTGACTGTGACGCTATCGAGGGCCTAAAGTATGGCCAAGCGTAATAATAGCTTATGAGAGAGTAGCCTAAAAAGGCAGATGCGTGCAGCCAGAATACCTGCTATCTCTCTCTAAGACCAAAGAACTTCACGGTTAAATACCGCTCTTCCTCATTATATATTTAGACATGATTCTAAAACTACATTCTAGCTGGAAGTGGTAAGCTGAAGTTAAGAATTGATAGAAAAGGAACTTTAACTCAAAATTAAACTGTTAATAAAATTAACATAATCCTTACAACTTTAAAAAAAAAGAATGAATAATCATATAATGGCAGTTTCACTGAAAATAAACAGAAGAATCTCCTATAAATTATAGCAGTTCTTAACGAAGATGTCTTAAATCTGTAAACCAAAGTGATCCTATGAACAATGCTGATATTACAGATCCAGCAATAAATTCCAGCATCACAACTATATATATATGTCATAATTTCGAAGCACAGTCACGATGGCTGAGTCGTAGGGCAAAAGGAAGAAGTTGATGCCAAACTAAGTTCAGCAAATTATCACCTTTATTTCCAGATTTCCAGGCACACTAGAATAATTCCTCGTAGGCAACATCCTCTTTAATCACAAAATGATGATAATTTCTTATACACATTGTTTTTTTTTAAAAAAAAAAAGAATGGCACAGGCATTTTACAGAAGCGAAGCAAGGAGATATCAGCAAGATAGAAGCTAGCAGAATAATAATGATGTAATTAGTTCACCAGAGGTATTTATACCAGAGGTATATAAGTAGTTCACCAGAGGCATATGAGTAGGTGCAATTCTAGAGACAAGATATGATTGGTTAATATTAGTTTTAGTTGCCCTTTTCCAGTAGCATTACATAACATAGAAAAATCTTGAATTTGGGAGAACAGATGAATTTAGGGGGAGAGCAGCAATAGAATGTTAATTTTGAGATCGCCAATTATTTTTAAAGCAGCTATTGTATTTTGTTATATCTTATATATTTGTTGGAAAGCATAGAAGAAGAATCAGCTTGCAGTCATCTTAGCTGAACATCAAGGCTTACAGATGAAGATAGTAAAACATGAACTTGAAGAACTTCCAGTTTTTATTGTCACACATATAAAATCATCTCCATAGATATTTATCCAATCATAATGAAATTCGATTAATTTCTATTATTCAATCATAATGAAATATGATAAATTACAATTTACATTGATTCTCATAATTAAAACGCAGGCACTTTATACAGGGAAGCAAAGAGAGGAGATATTAGCAAGGTGGGAGATAGCAGAAGAAGTGATGTAATTCATTGCCAGGGGGTTTTATACCAGAGTAGGTGTAATTCTAGAGATAAGCTATGACTGGTTAATTATTAGCTTTGGTTACCCTTTTCAAGCAGTGTTACGTAACGTAGAAAGATCTTGAATTTGGGAGAACAGATGAATATAGAGGGAGATCACCGAATTCAGAATGTTAATTTTGAGGTCACCAATTATTTTTTAAAGCAGCTATCGTATTTTGTGATATCTTACATATATAATAAACAAATTTAGATCCAATTTTTCACAAAGACCAAAAAATTAAATTCAAATAAATAAATTTAAAAAATTCTATACATGTTGAATTATATTTATATTATATATATACATATATATCACAGCAATATAATATATCCAAAACTTTAAGAATGTGACACTATGGACAGAGTAAATTAATAATCAAGTTTAGCTGTAATAATTATACACTGATAGGTTAATACTTACCATTCATTAAATCCAAGATGAAGCATAATTTATCTGGTGTTTGAAAAGCATAAGTCATGCATACTATAAATGGGCAATCTTCCTGTTAAAATAATGTAAAATATTAATAATTACAGTGGAACAATAAAAGTTATAAAATTTTAAGAATGCAATTTATTTCAATGAAACAGAAAAGGAGTACTGAAGTAGCTTAAACAAATTCAAATTTTTCAGGACTAATACTTAATGGAGAAAAAGGTAAGTCTATTAAATTAACTTAAGTTAAAAATATTTCTATTAACAACAGAAGATTTAATTATAAGAAATATGATATAAGCTACACTGATTTTCTTTAAAAAAATCAATTGTATCATTCTGAGCAAACAAATTTACAAGACTGTGCAGATAATTAATTTAAAGGCACAGAATTTTTTCCTGCACAAATTATGAAAGAACATAATTTAAATTACAGACTTATATCCAAGAAGACAAGTCATGAATCATTCAGATAAATCTTATATAAAATTAAACTGAAACTGTAAATCATACAGATACAGCAAGGAATGATAATATTAATGGTTTTCAATTACTCATTAATTTGGTTTACTTAATAAAATGGAGAGGTACATGACACAAGAAAATGAAAAAACTGATTTCATTAAATTACACATAAAATGAAATAATTTACAATATAAGTAAATACATTAGCAGCATAAAATTCATTACTACTTTATTCATATCACAAAAAGTCCTAGAAAATTAAAGATAAATTTTTTAAGCCAAATATAAAAAGCTAAAAATTTTGATGGACAAATGCATTTGTGATGCATTCACGATTTTACTTACCCCCGTGCTTACAAGGGACAACATTATCCTCTCATTCAATGCTAAAGTTTCTCCTTGCTTCATTTTTATCCGTTTTTTATCTAGACATTTCATAGCATACCTAAAATGAAATTACTTATTACATTAGCTTATACTAATAAATAAAATACATTAATATGCATAAATAGATAACTATCTTCTAATTACTTCATTTTCCAAGTGGCAAATCATACAGTAAAGAAATAAATATTCTAATAATTATATCCTGGATGTAATATTCTATTTTCACATTTTGTTTGACATCTGATAAAAACACTTTGATAATAAAAATCACAATACTCATTTGAAAGTCCAAAATATCAATGTATAAGCAAACTTCTTACCAGGTCAAAGTTCATTTACATTTTGTAGATGTAATTGAAAAACTTATATACCTCAATTTTTAAAATATTTATTTATAGTTAAAAGAAAGATGTATTTAAAACTGGATAAAATACTTAAACCCAACTTAAATGCATATTATTATGTAAATTATTTTTAAAAAAATTAAGCAGCTTCTTCAATCAGAATGATTCCCCAGCTTAGGCCACTGCCTTTCTTAGAACCCACTTCCACTCCACTCTCTCTGTTCAGCAAGAGTTTTCCATAGTTCCACAGTTTAAAATTTTAATAATTTTAAAGTCACTATCCATGGAACCATCAAAGCCTGGACCTTTCTCAGCCTAATTTTCTCACAGATTTATTATTAAAAGTTTTAAACTTTAAAAATGAAGAATTTATTCAGCATATGTGACCTCCAAACTTAATGCAGTTAATTTTACATACTTGACAACACTTCTTTCTTTATACAGTATTAATTCTGAAATCTGGATGTCCAATAACTGGAATGATGTCCAATATCTGGATCTCCAGTAACATTTTTTTTATATTTTACTTTTCCTATTTACCACACTGTACATGAATGTTATAATACTCTGGTGATTTGTTCCAAATAGCTGAGTTTTTCTGTCCCAAAAAACCTTATCTATGATGATATTGGCTTTAAACACCTCTTCACTAGCAAATTAGAATTTTATTTTCAGCTCTTGAAAGGTTGTGCTGGGCAGCATATTATTTATTTTATCTAGCCCTGGGTGCAATAAATGAATCCCAAATAAAGTTTTTGTTGGCAGTGGAATATTCTACATACTAGTTTCCTCTCAGTGGTGTAATGGAGAATAGGCTGCCAAAACAAAGCCCATTCATAGATCAATTAAAGGATGGGAAAACATGTTGTATGGTTTTAAATCCAGAAAACATCACCACTGATGGTGAAGAAAGTTGTGGCAGAGTTGCTTGTTAGGTATTTCCACCGCTAGTTGGTGTTAGGACCTAGCCGGTTTCATGGTATTATCTATAATTGGTAATCAACTGCTCCCCATTCTGTTTCAGTTTGCTTCCCATTCTGTTTCATTTAGATATTTTAATCGCAATACAGCACAAAGTTGGACACCCAGACTCGTCGGGAATTCGGCGATCCCGGATTTGGGATTTTTCGGGATATTAGGTCATCAGTTTAAATATATGAAGAATGTAGAAATTATAAAATTAAAAATATGAAATCGTGGTTTATGAAATAATGAAACATTTATTATTTAAGGGTATCAAAATTTATGAAAAAAACTTCATATTTATTTGTTTACTTAACATTTCTTTCAACGTAAGTTTTTTTAAGTACCTTTGTTTTTTGTGCTAATACTTTCTTTTTAATTCCATAGATAGATCTAATTTCTTGTTCAGTTACAAAGTCCTACTGTTCAAGTCCTATAATGACTGTGTCGAAAATTCCGACTAACTTGTCAATTGAAATTGTTTCGTTTTCAATAACTTCTCTGTCACTTTCTTCACTATCAGTAGAGGTATTTTCTGGATCTAGAACCACACTACAGATTTCGCCATCCGTTAAGTCATTGATGATTGATGATTGTCATCGTAATGAAAAATTTCTGTTATATCATCTTCGTTTATTACCGCTTCTACACATTTCTTCACAAAATCCATTAACTAGAAAATTTTACCTTTGGTTTAGGATATGTTTTCAGATTCGTGGCTATCATCAGTTTCACCATGAAATATGGTAGCTGGCCATACATTAAAGCAAGTACTTTTTAAAGCATCTGGAGACACATCCTCCCACAATCTTGCAATGCTCCACACGGCTCCATACGTACAATGTTAATAGTTTTACGGCTAAGTTTAAAAACCTCCCTTAAGAAATTTTATAATTAAATACTAAGATCCCTTTTAACCCTTTGCGGTTAAGTGTTCCACTACATGGAACACCCAAATTGAATCGCTTCTGAAACCTTTAAATTCAACTGTAAATAGATAAAAATGTCTTTATACAGTCAAAAGTCTTTAATCCGGACTCGTTGGGACTCCGGCGATTCCGGATTATAGATCATCAGTTTAAATCTGGTAAGATGGCAGCGAGAAATTGATAAACAGATTTCGGAACGGTTAGATAAACAAAGGATATACCTTTATCCATTTTTTGTTTGATGGACATCGAAACATACTTTCGTTTTCTAGATCCCTTGGGAGCTCCAGCATCGGAAATTCTATTTGACATAATCAAAAGTTCAAGCTTACTTTTATAAAATTGCTCTTACAGTCTGCAAAAAATAATAAGCCGGATCCAATTAAAAGATTAAGGAACAACACAATCATCAACATTAACTGAAATAGATAATTAGATAATTTTAGCTTATACCATTCGTTATACGTTAAACACGCACGCGAAAACGTATTCTGCGCTTGCGCAGTCGTAAATGTCTTGGGCACACGCGTAAAAATGCCTAGGAGCATGCGTCAACGTGGCGCATGCGCAGAAAGATTTTAGCTTTGAGGTCTGGATTATGGGTGTCCGAATTAACGACTTTTGACTGTAATATACTTTGAACATTTCTTTTTAAACAGTAGATAGCAGCATATCACAAGGAGACACAGAATTTTCATTTATTATGTGTTATAAATCCACTTTTTTTCAAGTAATTTTCTCTATTTTTTTAATGACATACAAAATTTTATTTGGAAAAAAAATTAGGCATAATTTTGCTGGCTGTACTCCAAATTATCTGTTCTATATGTTTTTTAATCTTTCAGACAAAAACCATACGCAGAATCATTGAATAAACCCAGGTGTTCCAATAGCGGGAACACTGCGCCTTTAGAGATCTCATGGTGTTACGAATCAGAAATCTGTGCTTAGGAGAGAACATCCGTTGTTTACGTTTTCTGTTTCCATTGCTTTGGGGGAGGGGGGGAATGAATTCAAACAAAGCACTATTGAGGGATGAGGCGTGTTTTGTGTTATGAAAGCCCTAATATTGGCATCTCGAATTTTTTGGGACTAGTTTTTAGACGGGAATCTTATTAGTAGCTTGACTCATCTTTACTTAGACCTGTGCGAATTTTTTGCTGTCGCTTTTTAGTCTCATTCCCATTTTCAATAATTGTGTATATTAATTCAGAAGTCAAACAACAAAAATCAGCGTTATACCTACAAAATCTTCACAGGACTAGTTTCGATGGTTTTACCGAACCATCATCTTCAGCTGAAAAACCGCAAATGAACAAGATAGGAAATAATGATTAGATAAGATAAGAAAGCCTGAACAAGAATAAGCAAGTGGCGCCATCTGTTGGCGAAACCAGAACTAAAACATAATTTCTCTAAAAGCCGAAGGCAAATTTGGATTGGAATTAGGATCGTTAACTAGAACAGAAAGATTTTTTATGAATGTGAAATGCCTCTAGAAAATCCAGTTCTCCAATGGAAGATGTTTTTTGAATAATTTTGGCAGCAGAAAAATTGAAAGTGTGATTTTCGGACCAACAATGTTGAGCAACAGAAGACTTCTGTGTTTCCTTTTTTCTAACATATGCCTCATGTTCTTTGACGCGAAATTTTAAGGCTCTCTTAGTTTGGCCAATGTAAATTAAACCACACTGGCAAGGAATCCTATAAATACCCCAGGAATTCATATCCGGAATGGGTCCTTGAGTATGGAACTCGGAATTTTATTGATGGGAGAATAAACAACCCGAAAGTTAAATTTCTGCAAAATATGTGCAACTTTATAGCTAATTGATGGAAAGAAGGGAATGACAACAGAATTTTTATAATCTCCTAAAATAAGAGTGTGGCTTTTAGTGTGTTGAGATGAGAATTTTTTAACTGCTTGATTAATAATGTTGGGTGAAAAGCCCCTGTCAATAGCTATTGCTTTTAAATAATTTAGTTCTTCATCAAGGGCTAGTTTGGAGGAGCAAACTTGAAGAGCACGGAAAACATAGGAATAAAATGAAGCTAACTTTTGTTTAGTCGGATGACATGATTTAAAGTGTGGTGGAAGGCAAACCGATGAAGGTTTACGGTAAACTGTAGTACTGAAGTTGGATGTGTTACATGTGACCAGAATGTCGAGAAACGGAAGAGAATTGCAAGTCTCAAGTTCAAAAGTGAACTGAATAGCAGGATCAATAGAATTCATTGTTGAAAGAACTTTATTTAAATCATCTTTATTACCTTCAAACAGGGTAAAAGTATCGTCTACGTAGCGGAACCATGCCGGGAAGTTTAAAGTTTCAAACAATTTTGATTCATAATAATGCATGTAGATATCAGCCAGGATGGGACTGAGGGGGCTTCCCATGGCTAATCCCTCAGTTTGCTTGTAATATTTATTTTGGAAAACAAAATGTGTTTGTTTCAAACAGAGTTGAGTGAGAGAAATTAGCTCCATCAATTTCGATGCAAGAGAAATGAAATTCGCGAAGTCCGGTTTCTAGACATCTTAATGCACCCTCCACTGGGACATTGGTGAATAATGATTTTACATCAAAAAAGAAACCATGAGTAAATTACTAGGAGAAATGTTTTTAACCTTTTTTTACAAACTCTATTGAATTTTTTATGGTGTAAATGTTATTGTCTAATAGAGTGGAAAATCTAGAAACTAAATATTTAGCTAAAGGATACGAGGCAGTACCTAAATTTGATACAATAGGGCGGAAAGGAATACCACTTTTATGAATTTTGGGAAGAGCATATAATCTGGCACAATTCGCAACAGATGG